TTACGCGAAAGTCAAAGGTCAAGCGACCTTTGACCTGACAAATACAGCGCGACAGTTAAGGACACACAACTGACTCATTACAGAGCAGTTGCCCGAGTCGTACTGTATCGAACCGCAACAGCAACAGTAAAGTAGTTACAAACTGCATCCTTTCATATTCCTTGTATTATTATATAATCTTGTACTTCCTTGTGTTAAAAGAACTAGGCAAGAATGATGCATTGAAAGAAACAGTTGGGTACAAGTAGCTAACCCTAGTTGGGTTTGTACCCTGTATTGGCTACCCCACTACAGCCTACCTACATATAAATAACACATTACAACTTAACACACCCCCATAGGCAAAGTGGGGGAGAGCAAAGGGTCACAAGACCAGTCCAGCAAAGCAAAAACAAGCCCAGGGTGGATCACAACGTCACCACACTCCGAGCACAAACAAAGGCCACAAGGCCAGTTCACATGTAGTGCTAGATATAGAACAGGACAAGCAGCAAGACAAATATAAAGTACAGTACAAAGAATGTCAAGCAGTGAGCAAGTGAGGAAACGTGGACACAAGGCCTAAAGAAGTACAGTGCCGCTGATGATCACTAGGCGGGAGCGCCTTGGTGAAGATATCAGCAGTGTTGGCCTTCGAGTCCACGTACACAAGCCGCTGCTGAAGCTCTCGAGCAAGAAAGTAGCGAAGAGCAATGTGCTTCGTCCTGTGCTCCAGTCTGTGCTCCTGACACAAGGCAAGAGCCGCCTTGTTGTCACCGTACAGAACTGGAGGAGAACTAGGCCGCTCTCCCAAGTCAGTCAGCAGGTAGGTGAGCCAGCGTAACTCCTGTGCAGCCATGGCTGTGGCGTAGATCTCAGCCTCACAACTAGAGCCGAGAACAGAAGAAGAGCGGGTGGACCGCCACGAGACAGAACCAGAGCCAAGGCTGAAGGTGTAACCCTGTGACGACCGCTGCGTAGCCAGGTCGTCCACCCAAGAAGCGTCCGAGTGGCCAGTGAGGACAACTCTGTCGCGTCCTCCAAGCACCAGCCCTATGCCTGATGTACTGCACAAGTAACGCAGCACCCTCTTAGCAGCCTCCCAGTGCTCTCGCCTGTGTCTCCCAGGCGCAACGTAACGAGCAAGGATGCTAAGAGGGTACGCGAGGTCAGGTCGCGTGCAAGTCATCAGGTACATGAGGCAGCCTACAAGCTCTGGGTACGGGCCACTCGGCTCTACGGACTCGTCCGAAGGTGGAGCTGAGAGCGAGTGGCTGGTAGCCAGAGGTGTGGCCTGTGGTGAGGAGAACTGGAAGCCGAAGCGCTGAAGGACCTGCTGCACCATGTGTGACTGAGTCAGGGTGATGGTGCGGCGAGCTCTGTCCCGGGTGATCTGCAAGCCAAGGTAGCTACGCAGTTCACCCAGGTCAGTGCAGGTGTGTCTCTTCTGCAGCTCCGACTTCACACGAGCGAGTGCCTCAGTGTCAGCAGTAGCAAAGACCAAGTCGTCGACGTACACGAGAATGTAGAACGGCGGCAGCGACGTGTCTGTGCGCAGAAACAGCGACGGGTCAGCAGTAGACGGCGCGAACCCAAGAGCCGCAAGTGTAGTCCTCAGTGTGTCGTGCCACTCACGTGGCGCCTGGCGGAGACCGTAGACTGGTCGGCGGAGGCTCCACTGGGTACCAGGAGGAAACGACCCAGTAAAGCCAGGTGGGCGGCGCAGCCAGATCTCCTCGTGCAGGCTGCCCTGCAGGAACGCTGTGCTGAAGTCAAGAGCAAAACCCGAAGAGTGGTCACGCTGAGCGGCAACGTGCAGCAGAACCCGAAGAGTGGTCATCTTCGGTGCAGCCGCGAGAGAGTCAAAGTCCTCCTGCCTGTCCTCAAGGACGTCCGTGCCAAGAGCACACTCACCCCCGACGGACGGAGGACAGACAGACGCAGACTCAGACCCAGCAACAAGGCTAGTAGCGTAGTCTAGACGACAGGCAGCAGCAAAGTCAACCAACTCAGCGACCAGAGCAGACGCAGCCGAGGACTCAAAGGTAGGGTCAGTGACAACAGTAGCTAGGAGACGCGTGACAGTAGGGTGCTCAGCACGATACCGGTCAGACTCAGGGTCCGGAACGGCAGGCAAAGAGGACGCAGGAGGAGATGGTAGAGGGACACGCTGAGGAGCAGTAGATGGACGCAGAGTCATGTAGTGAGTGCCTGGGACAGGAGGAGGATGCTCACGACGGACACGACGACCAGTGCGAGCAGTACGAACAGGCGACGCAGGACGAGACTCAGGCTCACGACGCTCTGTAAGACCTCCTGTGGGACCAGTGTAAGGAGAGGGAGCAGGGAGAGGCGAGGTAGGCGGTAACTGGGACTGCGGCTGGACAGGCGGAGGACACTCTACGGAGGGAGGAGGACAAGGAGGAGGAGCCTGCCCAAGAACCTGCTGAAGGAGCGGCACGAAGTACGGTCGCGGCCGCGCAGCGTCTCCAGAAGCAGAAGAGACTCCAGCGGCCGGGTCCTCAGGACCAGCAGGAGCTCCAACGTCCGGGTCCCCAGCACCAGCAGCAGCGCCACCGCTCGGGTCCTCAGCTCCAGCAGCAGCTCCAACGTCCGAGTCCTCAGCACCAGCAGCAGCGCCACCCCCAGGGTCCGCAGCACCGCTAGGAAGAGCACCCCCAGAGTCGGCAGCTCCAACTCCGCTAGCACCGCCAGCTCCAGAGTCCCCAGCTCCAGCAGCTCCAGTCGTAGTGCTCCCAGAACAACCAGTCCCGGCAGCTCCAGTACCCCCAGTACGAGCACCCCCAGGACGAGCAGCTCCAGCACCCCCAACTCCAGCCGAGCCACTAGGACGGCGAAAGCGCCGGACGTACCAGTCACGAAGCTGCTGCGGTGTGAGAGACTGCTCAGTACCCCGAACCGGAGCACCCCCAGACGCAGCAACCCGAGGCTCCGTAGGCTCAGTAGCAGCACCCCCAGGCTCAGTACCCGCAGGCGCAGCACCCCCAGACTCAGCACCCCCAGACTCCGCACACGCAGGCTCAGCACCCCCAGTCGCAGCACCCCCAGGCTCAGCACCCCCAGCTCCAGCACCCGCAGTCCCAGCACTCCCAGGCCCAGCACCCGCAGGCTCAGCACCCCCAGACTCAGCACTCCCAGCAGCACCACCTGCAGCAGCACCTGAGTCACCTGTGACCTCGACAGGCTCAGCGACGGGAGGAGGGTCTACCTGAGAGACACCTGAAGGAGCAGGACCCTGAGGGGGAAGGGGGTCTACCGGAGGGGGACCAGGAGCAAGGAAAAGTGGCGGGGGAGGGAGGGGGGCAGTGCGGTAGGGGAAGAGACGGTAAAAAGGGACCGACTCGTCAAAGGTGACATCCTGAGAGGCGAAGACCCGGCGCGAGGTGGGGTGGTAAAACTGCCAGCCAGGCGCGTCAGGGACAAAGCCAAGGAAGACACAGGGAAGCGTGCGGGAGGAGAGCTTGTCCGCAGACGTATCGCGGACAAGGGCACGAGCACCCCACACCCGGAAGCGCGACGCATCGCCAACCTCCCCCGTCCAACGCAGTGTGGGCGAGGTCTCCGGCAAGGAGACACGGAGCCAGAGGTTGAGCTGATGCGCGGCGTACCGGACAGCAAACGGCCACAGAAAATGGGGAGCCGCCGCGTGGACCAAGGAGGTACGAGCGACCTCCATGACCAGGCCAATGCGGCGCTCAGCAACCCCATTATGCTGTGGGGAGTCCGGAAGCGTGAAGGTCTGCTCGATGCCCTCCGCCTGACAGAAGGTCCTCAAGAGATCGGAGGAGAACTCACCACCTCTGTCAGAGTGCAGACGCAGGACAGGAAGATCCGTCCGGAAACGGCGGCGGAGCTGGAGACGAACTGTGCGGATCCAAGGGATCAGAACAGCAGGGACCTCACCCTTGGTGCGCAAGGGGAAGACCGTGGTGTAACGCGAGTAGACAACCAGCAAAAAGTACCGCTCACCGCCCTGGCCACGAACGCGGGCTGGGCCCCACACGTCCAGGTGGAGGGTCTGCAGAGGAGCCTCTGTCGGGGGGAACGAGGAGGAGTGAGGAGCGGCGCGCTGCCGCCCCTCGACGCAAGGAAGGCAAGGCGGCGCAGGCGAGGCAGGGAGGGGAGGGAGGGACCTGGGAAGACCAGACACAAGGCGGCGACGGTGCATGCCACGAAGGCGTGGTAAGGAGGGGTGACCCAGGCGGTGGTGCCAGAGAAGAGTCTGGTGCGACAGGGAACGACACTCACAGGCGTGGGCCACCAGACCTGACGCGGACACCTGACCGACAGCAGCGACCTGAGGAGACGCAGTGGTCAGTGTGTAGAGACTCGACCCCGGCCGACGGGTAAACGTAGCCAGGTGACGGCCGGTCCTGGAGCACGTGCAGATCGCCACACGCTGTCCTCCAAGGGTAAAGGTGTCAACCCACTGATCCTGGATGACAGCGTTGCTCACCAGGTTCGTCGAGAACGAGGGGAGGTGGAAACCCGACAACGAGCCAGACGGAACCGCCGGACAAGGGAGCACAGTGGTGGACTGGGCAAGGACTGGGCCCCCAGAGGGGTCAGCCAAGGAGACTGGGACCGGTGCAGGAAGCGGTGTGAGCTCAGTACTGTCACGAAAGAAACAGCGGGAAGCACCTGAGTCAAGGGTGAAGGTGTGACAGGCCTCAGCCGGTGTGGTACCTGAGAGAGCAGTCTCTGTGGGTGCTGTACCTGAGAGAGCAGACTCGCAAACAGCCGGGACAGCACTGGAGGGAGCAAGTACAGGGGGCACCATACCAGAGAGAGCAGACTCACTAGTACCCAGGGCAGCGGGCTCTATACCTGGGTCAGGCGGCACACACAAGTAACAGTCTCCCTCGGCACTAACAGTCAATGCATACATGGCAGCAATAATAGCATCATAGTCAAGAGCAAAGATATCAACACCAGCCCTCATGAGCTCAGCCCAGCGGGGGCGCTCAACATCCTCGCCCATCTCCTCACGCCAAGCGTCGTCAAGGTGGGAGAAGCAGCGGTACGGGGTGTGGAACCTCCCACACGTCTGTCCCTTGCGGTCACCTGTGCGAATGACATAGGAACAGCGGCCACTGCCCCCCGACGTCCCACGCTGAGCAAGCCACTCACGAAGCTGCTGGGTCGTCTGGGGACGCTGCTGCTGCTGGGAGCTCTGGCCCGAGCCAGTGCCTCCACTCCGACCTCCGCCGCCACCACTACCACCGCTCCGACCGCCACCGCCACCACCGCCACCACCGCCACCGCCGCCACTACTGCCACTGCTTCCTCCGCCGCCCCCGCCCCCGCCTCCACCGCCGACCCCACTCCCACCAGCGCTCCCGCCACCGCTCCCTCCAGCACCGCCTCCCCCCCCACCTCCCCCACCTCCTCCCCCCCCAGCGCCACCCCCGCCACCCTTGCCCCCCTTGCCCTTGCCGGTGCGGCGCCTCCCACCAGGAGCAGAAGCAGCGCCAGCAGACTCAGCACCAAGGAAGTCAACAGCAGCAGCAGTAGCGTAGGAGGGAGCGAGGGGAGAGGGAGAACACCCCTCAAAGATGGGGGTGCGAGGAGCGCCACGAGCAGCACCGACAGCTACAATGCTCTTTTCGGCCGCTAGCAGCTGCTCCTCTAGGAGGGCGACTGTGAGCTCAGTGGGACAGCGAGCAAGGAAGTGGTCTCGAACTGAGCTGAGGGTGTCAGGGAGACGGGTGACTATGAAGTGGAGTGTCCAGTACAGTGGAGGGGGATTCTTAGCGCAGAACTCGGTGGGAAGGCGCACGCAGGCGAGCATCACTAGTGCGAAGGTGGGTGATAAGATCGGCGACTGTAGCAAAGGTGGACAGCTCAGGGAACAGGTACGGCAGCATGAGGCGGCTAAGCTCGGCTGTGGCAGGCGAGGAGTAGCGAGCAACGACAGCATCGTACAGGGCCTTAGCGGATTTGCAGTCGCCAAAATGCTCGAGCTCAGCTAGCGGCAGGTGACTGCGAATGGCTAGGCGAGCAGCTGCGTCACGAGTCTGCCAGTGGGAACGAACACTAAGCTCAGCTGTGGCAGGGGGGGCAGGTGCAGCACCAGACGCGTAATCATAGAGCGACACATGCTCCTGCTATCGCATAGAAGGAACAGCTGCAGGTCATCCAGCCAAGTGGCGAACTTCACAGGGCGGCCCTCAGCATCGAACGACAGCACGCGGATGGAAGCCATAGCGACAGTGCGACTGAGCAAAGGAAGCTGCCACAGCGCTGCAGGTAGGTAGCTCGGCGGGAAGCGCGGCGGGCGGGCGACGCGGCGAGCGGGCAGTGCGGGGGGCGGGCTACGAAGCGGGCAGCGCGGTGGGCAGGCGGCGCTGCAGGCGGGAAGTGCGGCGGGCGGGCTGCGAAGCGGGCAGCGGGACGGGCGGGCGACGCGGCGAGCGGGCAGCGCGGCGGGCGGGCTGCGAAGCGGGCAGCGGGCGGGCGACGCTGCGAGCGGGCAGCGCGGCGGGCGGGCTGCGAAGCGGGCAGCGGGCGGGCGGGCGACGCTGCAAGCGGGCAGCGGGCGGGCGGGCGACGCTGCGAGCAGGCAGCGCGGCGGGCGGGCGGGCTGCGAAGCGGGCAGCGGGCGGGCGGGCGACGCTGCAAGCGGGCAGCGAGGCGGGCGGGCGACGCTGCGAGCGGGCAGCGCGGCGGGCGGGCGACGCTGCGAAGCGGGCAGCGGGCGGGCGGGGCGACGCTGCAGGCGGGCAGCGGGCGGGCGGCGACGCTGCGAGCAGGCAGCGCGGCGGGCGGGCTGCGAAGCGGGCAGCGGGCGGGCGGGCGACGCTGCAAGCGGGCAGCGAGGCGGGCGGGCGACGCTGCGAGCGGGCAGCGCGGCGGGCGGGCGACGCTGCGAAGCGGGCAGCGGGCGGGCGGGCGACGCTGCGAGCAGGCAGCGCGGCGGGCGGGCTGCGAAACGGGCAGCGCGGTAGGCGGGCGACGCTGCGAGCGTGGGGTGGGGTAGCGTGGTAACCGCATGCGAGCGGTGGTGGGCCCTTAAAAAAAAAACGGTCGGTAGGTCCTAGGGACCTCCTGCTCTGAATACCATGTTAAAAGAACTAGGCAAGAATGATGCATAAAACGGTCGGTAGGTCCTAGGGACCTCCTGCTCTGAATACCATGTTAAAAGAACTAGGCAAGAACCTGTATTGGCTACCCCACTACAGCCTACCTACATATAAATAACACATTACAACTTAACACCTTGCTATAATCAATCTACTTTGCCCTCACATACCAGCGCAAGGTGGTTCACAAACTTTTGTTAACACGCTTCCACTATTACAACACTTTCATCCAGAGTTCTCCCTTGAAAGATCCTAAGGGGCTATCTCAGCCCAACATTTGTGTATATTACCGTTCATCGCCCGGATATAAGACATATTATGCCCTCGTACACTACGGTACTCAAAATGCTTGGATTATTTGTATTTGGGACGGTTAGGGTGTCTCATAACCTTAAAGTTAGGCAAGGATGGGTTGAGACCATCGAGAGAATTGTGTACAAGAGGAAAACCCTAAGCAGTTATACCCCATAGTATCTACCCCGCTACAGCCTACCATAAGTATAAACTATATATATATATGTTTGACACACCCCCATAGGCAATTGAGTGGGGGAGAGCAAGAGGTCCACAAAAACCACTCAAGAAAGCAAAGCAAGCTCAGGGTGGATCAGAATGTCACCACACGCACTGAGCAAAAGCAAGGGCCACAAGGCCAGTTCACATGCAGAGGTATATATGCAACAATAGCATCACAGTGATCACTATTTAGGAAGAGCAAGCATGCAGGTATATATATATATATATATATATATATAAATCACAGTACAAGCAGAGACTACAGCAAGTGTGGGAACATAGGCACAAGACCTAGCAAAGTACAAAGACGCTGATGATCACCCACACGGAAGTGCCTTGGTGAATATATCAGCAGTGTTGGCCCGAGTGGCCACGTGACCAAGACGAAGCTGGACCTCTCTGCCTGCAACTCCTCGCCAGGAAGTAACGCAGAGCGATGTGCTTCGTTTTGTGCTCCAGTCTGTGCTCCTGACACAAGGCAATGGTGGCCTTGTTGTCGACGTACAGAACTGGAGGAGAACGACGGTCTCTCCCAAGTCAGTCAGCAGGTAGGTAAGCCAGCGTAGCTCCTGGGCCGCCATGGCTGTGGCGTAGATCTCAGCCTCACAACTGGAGCTGAGAACAGAAGAGGAGCGCGTAGACTGCCAAGAAACGGAGCCAGAGCCAAGGTTGAAGGTTGTAAACCTGTGACGACCGCTGCGTAGCCTGGTCGTCAACCCAAGACGCGTCAGAGTGTCCAGTGAGGACAACGTCTCTCCGTCCTCCAAGCACGAGCCCCATGCCCGATGTACTGCACAGGTAGCGCAGTACCCTCTTAGCAGCATCCATGTGCACCTTTCGGTGCCTACCAGGAGCCACGTTAGCGAGCCAGAAGGCTAAGAGGGTACGCGAGTGTCAGGTCGAGTGCAGGTCATCAGGTACATGAGGCAGCCCACTAGCTCTGCGTAAGGACCACTCGACTCTCCGGACTCGTCCGAAGGTGGAGGCTGAGAGCGAGTGAGTGACCTATAGCAAGAGGGCGGGACTATGCTGAGGGACCAAGTGAAGCCGAAGCGCTGAAGGACTTGCTGCACCATGTGTGACTGAGTCAGTGTGAATGGTGCAGCGTGCTCTGTCCCCACGTGATCTGCAAGCCAAGGGTAAACTGCGCAGCTCACCCAGGTCAGTGCAAGTGTGTCTCTTCTGCAGCTCCGACTTCACCAGAGCGAGAGCCTCAGTGTCAGCAGTGGCAAAGACCAAGTCGTCGGCGTACACGAGGATGTAGAACGGCGGCGTGGCAGTGAGTGACGTGTCGGTACGCAGAAACAGCGACGGGTCAGCAGTCGAAGGAGCGAACCCAAGAGCCGCAAGTGTAGTCCTCACTGTGTCGTGCCACTCACGAGGCGCCTGGCGAAGACCGTAGACTGGCCGCCGGAGGCTCCACTGGGTACCGGGGAGGGAAACGACCCAGTGAAGCCGGGTGGTTTAACTGCGCAGCTCACCCAGGTCAGTGCACGTGTGTCTCTTTTACAGCTCCGACTTCACCCAGAGGCGAGAGCCTTAGTGTCAGCAGTGGCAAAGACCAAGTCGTCGGCGTACACGAGGATGTAGAACGGCGGCAGTGAAGTGTCGGTGCGCAGAAACAGCGACGGGTCTGCAGTCGAAGGAGCGAACCCAAGAGCCGCAAGTGTAGTCCTCAGTGTGTCGTGCCACTTACGAGGCGCTGGCGAAACCGTAGACGGGCCGCCGGAGGCTCCACTGGGATACCGGGAGGGAAGACCCAGTGAAGCCGGTGGGGCGGCGCATATTCGAGTGGCCCATGTTCAAATACACCTACTAGAGCCATTTCAACCTGGTTCTTGCGCAAGTAAAGTTCGGCGCCTACGATTTCTGCCATTTTTGCCGCCAAGCACCTAGAAAGTGCGTGAGTCCTTATAGGCGTAGGGAAAGCACTCACCTACCTGATTGATATTGCATATTCGAGTGGCCCATGTTCAAATACACCTACTAGAGCCTTTTCGGCCTGGTTCTTGCGCGAAGAAAAGTTCTGCGCCTACAAGTGCCCTAGAAAGCGCGTGAATCCTTATAGGCGTAGGGAAAAGCACTCAACATTTCAGAAATAACTGAGCAGGAATGAATGAACTAGAACAGAGTTTGGTACAAGTAGGAAACCCTAACTTTGTGTACCCCCTAAGGTGTAACCCACTACAGCCTAACAAGTACAATAAAACATGCAATGTTTGACACACCCCCATAGGCGCAGTGGGAGACAACCACAGGGTCACAAGACCAGTCAAAGCAAAGTAAAGCAAGCTCAGGGTGGATCTCAAGGATTCCACACAAATTCCGAGCACAAGCAAGCGGTCACAAGACCAGTTCACATGCAGGTTTATAACAAAGCAAGAGATACAGTGATCACAACCTAGCAAAAGTAAACAAGTAGGCATATATATATAGTGATCACAGTACAAGCAAGGTCAAGAGGTAAGCAAGTGAGGCCCAGTAGGTACAAGGCCTAGTAGAGTGCAAAAGCGCTGATGGTCACAAGGCTGAAGCGCCTTGGTGAACACATCAGCAGTGTTGGCCTCCGTGGCCACGTAACGCAGACAAAGCTGACCACGCTGCTGCAGCTCTCGAGCAAGGAAGTACCGGCAGAGCGATGTGCTTCGTTCTGTGCTCCAGTCTGTGCTCCTCACACAAGGCAATGGCAGCCTTGTTTGTCGACGTACAGCACTGGAGGAGAACGAGGCCGCTCTCCGAGGTCGGTCAGCAGGTAGGTCAGCCAGCGTAGCTCCTGAGCAGCCATGGCTGTGGCGTAGATCTCAGCCTCACAACTGGAGCTGAGAACAGAAGAAGAGCGAGTAGAACGCCAAGAAACTGAGCCAGAGCCAAGGCTGAAGGTGTAACCCTGGGACGACCGCTGAGTAGCCTGGTCGTCCGCCCAAGAAGCGTCTGAGTGCCCTGTGAGAACAACCCGGTCTCGCCCTCCAAGCACAAGCCCCATGCCCGACGTACTGCACAAGTAGCGCAACACCCTCTTAGCAGCATCCATGTGCTCCTTCCGGTGACGGCCAGGAGCGACATAGCGTGCTAGGATGCTAAGAGGGTATGCAAGGTCAGGTCGAGTGCAGGTCATCAGGTACATGAGGCAGCCCACAAGCTCTGGATACGGGCCATTCGGCTCTACGGACTCATCCGAAGGCAGAGCTGAGAGCGAGTGACCGGTAGGCAGAGGAGTGGACTGAGGCAGGGGTACGTGAAGCGGAAGCGCTGGAGAACCTGCTGCACCA